CTGTACCACTGCTTGAAGAAAATGTCTTCTAAAAACTGGCAGTAGGTTTGGAAGTTAATTGAATCCATCTTCAACCCGAAAAGGTCCAACTAGCTCATCTTTAATATCAGACCATACCAGAACCTCCATCTTCATGGCATTTGAGTCAAAGTGGAGCCAATCCATCTAGTCAGTCAACAGTCACTTTCATCACATCAGTCCACAAAACCTTTGAAAAATCTGTCTTCAGATGTTTCTTGGCTCAGTCTTGACATTTCAACTTATGTGTCTTGTTCAGTAGTGGTTGGGTTTCAGTCTTCCTTACCTTGACCATGTCTCTGAGCACTGAACACCTTGTACTTCTGGGCACTCCAGTTAGGTTGCAGTTCTGGAAAATTACAGCACTGGAGGACAAGGAGTTCTTTTCAAATCAACCAAAAACTACCCAAGTACCAACACATTTCCAGAATGCCCAGATTTGTTTCTTGTCCCAGGGAGGACTGTGCCAGTACCTCTACAAGATGGGTTCAAAGGATTCTATTCAAACCTATTCATGGTACTAAAGCCCAACAGAGGTATTTTGTTCCATTCTGGACTTGAAATCCCTCAACAAATGCCTTCAAATTCTAAAATATCAACTAGAGAAAAGGGGAATCCTGGTATCTGTAAATATCCAAGATGGCTATCTGCATATTCCTATTTATCCACCGCATCAGTGCTTTCTGTTCTTTGCAGTTGCAGACAGCTATTTCATATTTGTTGCATTATCCTTGCAACCTCTACTCTGAGTATTTATAAAAATCCTAGCTCCTCTTCTTGCTGCTCTCAGAACTCAGAGCATCCGGGTCACAGGTTATCTAGATGACCTTCTCTTAAAGAACTTTTCTCCCTTACAGCAGTTTGCAAATGTCCACAGGACAATTCAGGTGCTCCAAACGTTTAGTTGGGTTCAATTTTCAAAAATCTGCTCTTCAGCCTTTCCTTCACCTGGAATACTTGGGTTTAGTCTTTTGCATCCCAAGGAAGGGATTTTCCTTCAGAAAAGAGATTTTCCTCTCCAAACCCACGCTTGAGATTTGAGATCAGAGACCTCCTTCAATGAGATTTTCCACAAGTGCTCTAGACCTTCATGATGGCCTCCTTTTTTGAGACTGTATTTGTCCTACACAACATCTTGACTATTCTAACAAAAATGTTCCTTTTCTTGACCTACCCATGCTCCTGTTGAGCCAAGCAAGGAAAACCTAACTTGGAAATCTTCAGGCCAGCCTTAGGGCCCGTTCACACCAGAAACTGCACATAACCATGTTTTTTACTGCATGTTTACATGCATTTAAAGTGAAATTGCGTGTGTTTTGCACTGCATTTATCATGCAGCTGCAGTGCATTTTTTATGTTTTTTGAGCTTGGCTTGCTTCTATTTCCTTTTTGATGCCCGTTTTTTTTTTTTTTCTTTGTAGTTTGTAGAAAGAAGCATGTCCCATCATTGGTACAGGCAGAAGAGGGGTCCATGTGATCACTGCACTCTGTTATTTAACACTTCATGACCGATATGGCTATCCTGATAAAGACCTGCCAGTAATCAACTTGCCAGTGTTCTCCTTTCTGTCTTTGTCCATTTCTTTATAATGTGAACAAATTCTTGCTGTAAATTTCTCCCAGATCTGCTCTTTTCTTCTCTTGTCCTTTATAATGATCATGTCTGGGTCATAGAGCACAGGGTACTGCTGGATCATTGTGATGGAAGTCCTCTGCATCCATGGATGACCTGTATGCTAATATGGCTGCACACTGCTCTCCACACATACCAGATGCAGATCCAGGAAGTGGAATGGGGAGGGACCAGGTTATAATTAATACATTTTTTTTTTTTTTTTTCTTTTTAAGGGGTGCAGTGTATTTGAAGCGTGTTTTGTAGTGAATTTGCAGCATGTTTACCTGCATTTGCAGTGCAGAAAAACGCAGCAAGCTCTAATTCTTCTTCTAGGTAACTCTAGCTAACACTTTATAAGCTATTACAACTGTTGCTTTTGCGATAAAAGTTTTACACAAAAGAATAAAAGCTGACTATTCTAAACACCCACGTCCGTGTTAAATGGTTTCTCAACCTGCCTTAGTTCATTAAAAGAATGTGAAAAATAAGACTTATTTGCCTGATCAACAGGGGAAAAGTCTTAAAAAAAAAAAAAAAAAAAAAAAAAAAAACCCAACTGCATCCAAGACCTGGTAGGCGACAGTTTAATAAATGTGTGGTGTTGTGTTTTTTTTTTTTTTTGTTTTTTTTATTTAATACTACTTCAGTGGTAGGTATCAGTCTTTCAGGCTGGGGAGGAATGTTCCTTTCCCTCATGGTCCAAGAAACATGGTCACTGGTGGAAGCCAAGCTTCCTATCCACATCGAGCCCAAAACAGCAAGGATGGCTTTGCCACACTAGACCTCAATCAGGATGCAGACAGAAAATGCCGTGGCTGTTGTCCTACATCAGCCATCAAGGAGGGGACCAGGAATTATGCAACCTCAATGAATGCAAGCCACACAATATGGACAGAATCTCACTGTCAAGCAATCTTTGCAGTCTACATCCCAGGAATTGACAAATAGAAGGCAGAATACTTCATACGCCACCGCCTGGATCAGGAGGAATGGGCCCTTCAACCCAGACAATATGTTAGAAAAGGGGTTCTCCAGATATAGACCTCCTAGCCTCCAGATTCACAACAAACTACCTCCTGATTGTAGCCAGGATCAAGGATCCTCTAGTGATGGCTTTGGATGCTGATAATTCTCTAGCCTCAGTTCAGGCTAATCCTATGCCTTTACCTCCATGTGAATTCTGTCTTCTCTGGTGTAATGCGAATCACAGGCTTCATCTCTTGCGCTATATATATATATATATATATATATATATATATATATAATTTGTTTTCTTTCTTAATATTTTTTTTGTTTTGTTTTTTTGTAGCAAACTGGCCCAGAATAACCTGGTACACAGATATACTCATACTTCTAGCATATGCCCTTTTGGCCTCCCTCCAACTGGCCATATTTGCTTTCTCATGGCCCTCAATTCCATCCTGCTTCTCAGTCTTTGGCTGTAACAACATGGCTGTTGAAGCCCAGCTCTTGAGAGAAGGTCTCTGGGTTTACCATTTCTACCTTGCTAAAAGCAAGAAATGCCACTTCTAGAATAATCTATCATACCTAAACTTATGTATAAAAATCGAGCGCAGTGCATAAGATATGGTAGCTGCTGGCAACAAAAAAGGCACCTTGGGAACCTCCACAGTAAATGTTAAAAGAATAGAATTGCAGCGCTACATGAATGGTGACTTTATATATAAAAATATGATAAACACAAATGACTAATTGTCAATGGATTAATAAAATGCCGGCGAGAGTTCATCAAAAGTGCTTAGTGTCTGATATGCAAAAGATATAAGTAGTGACTTTCCGTGGTGATAAGAATAGTCAAATCATGCACTAACCAGATAGCGCATGGGGCATTTAAGACCTGCCCCTGGTACTCAGCCGCTGTGTCACTGGAGCAGAGAGGTGTCATCTGTAGGGCCACCACTAGATGTCATCTGTCCATGCAGAAGATGTATCCAGCCACTGAAGTAGGTGTCATCTATAGAGCGACCACTAGATGTCATCCGTCCATGGAGGAGATGTCTCATAGATCCAGAGATGTCACTTGCAGATGTTATCTTACTGTGCACGGCCCTCAGCTACAGGACCTTCAAAGTTACACGCTCCCCAGAAATAAAGAGCCCGTGGAGAAGAGGCCTCAAATAGTGTGATAACGTTTTAATAAAGTAAAGCAATCAGAAATGAACTTACAGTATTGGTATAGCTCATGAATGGCTAAAGCAGAGGTACATGTACAAGAAGTGCCAATCTCTCTTGTATTAACTTCCCCTTTGCAGCAGCCTATGCTTCTTTGGGATCTTAACTTGGGTTCAGAGAGTGGTTTCTGCAGGACTGAGCGAACCATCAGGAATCTACCCTTAGATGAGCTCTCCTGCAGTGTTGCCTTTTTGGTTGTTCACGTCTGTCGGACATGTCAAAGTTGGCAGCTCCCTTGTAAGGAGCCGATACTCCTCCTTTACAATGCCAAGATAGTAACATAGGCCTACCATCCTTATGCTCTGCTCCAAAGAATCAAAAGGAACTTTTTCTTCATTGGCTGGATGCAGTCAGAGTAATTATAATCTACCTCAAAGCAATAGCTTCGATTAGGAATACTGACTTTTTGTCCTGTCCTCAAGAACCTTGCAAGGGACACCCTGCTTCCAAGTCCACCATTGCTTGATAGCTAAGAAATGTAAATTCTTTTACACGCCCAATCCACTAAGTCTGTGGGAGTTTCCTAGGCTTTCAGGCTCTGTAGCCCAGCCTCTTGAGGCCACTACCTTGATCTCTGTGCATTCCTTTTTCAAAGTTCTACCTGGTGGATGTGCAGTCTTTTTTGTGATGCAGCTTTCTGCTGAAAGGTTCTTGCAGAAGCATGCTGATGTTGGGTGTGTTGACCCTTGTTGTTTTGCTTGCTGGCCCAGCTAGTTTGCCTGGTTTTTGCCCACCCTTCTGATTTCATTGCTAGGAGACATCCCATGGGCTGTGAATATTTTGACTGTGCTATGTACCGTACAGTTAGCATAAAAAGGGTTTTGACTTGTCTGTGAGTTCCATATTTTGGAGTACAGTGCAGGACACAGGCCCTGACACATTGCCTGCTACAAAACTGAGGTTTTTCAGAGTGGGTTAGGGTTAAAGAGGAGATGTTTGGGGAGTGTCTGCGAAAGCTTTGTCAGTGCTCAATCTCCTGATGGTACGAGTCTGTAACCAAGCATCTATGAACATGTTGCCTGTGTCCAGTACTGTACTCCGTGATATGGAATTCATAGGCAAGTCAAAATAAATTTTTGTTTCCTCTTAGACCGTATTTATAACCTCTTACTTGGTCTATTTTAGCTTTTTCATGGGTTGGTAAAATTATTTTTTTATATTTACCCTTTCCTAGGATGTGCCCAATCTTTCAAATATCTAATGTAACAGGTGAAAACTTGGATCTGCTCAAAATGTTCCTCAATTTGCTGTCTCCCCGATGCAGTTCAAGGGAAGAAGAACCTGCGGAGTTCCAGATTGATGATACCTACTCTGTACCAGTAAGCTTTTTATTCGAGCACAAGAGAAAAAAAATCTGCACAGACTATAGTTATGATTTTCCTCCTGGAAAATTGTTTTATTTCTTTTTTTTTTTTCACAGGGTGTGGGCACAGTGGTTTCAGGAACAACATTAAGAGGACTGATTAAGCTAAATGATCTTCTGCTTTTAGGACCTGACCCTCTTGGCAACTTTACTTCAATTGCAGTGAAGTCAATACATCGCAAACGCATGCCTGTCAAAGAAGTACGAGGTGGTCAGACAGCATCTTTTGCTCTGAAAAAGGTACAGCAGTGTTGTCATCAAATTTGGCTTTGATACCACCATAGTATTGTATTCTCTCATTAAGATCTTCTCATTTATTCTATCTGTCTCTCCCATACCATATCTGAGTTCTAGTTTACAATAGTTTAACCACTTGCCTATCAGGCCAATTCTAAGATTTCTGTCTTTTCACTTTCAATCATTTTTTTTTAATTGAAATAAAATTTGAGGTACAAAACATGGAGTAAGAAAAGTGTTTTGAAATAGCCAAGAAGATATTAGACAGCAGGAACGTAGCTGCTGAGAAACCAAAGACATCCGACATTGTCTTTCATGTAAAAACCTGCTTTTTATTTTTCGCTAGGAAACTGCTCAGAGCCCCCAAAACAGTATATATTTTTAAGCAGAAGTCCAAGAGCAGTGGTAGGCAGCACCCAACACTAGTGCCAGAGGTGGTACGCAACCGCATTAAGGATGGCACTCAAGGGGAGTCCTGGGAGACCCACCTCCCAAACAATAAAGCTGGCCAGCAGAGGAAGCAGTGCAGCTGGTGCCCACCCACCTCTATTCGCACTGGTGTAGATGCCTGCATTGCTCTCTCCACACTGAAGCTGTGTAGAGTCTGATTCCCCAGGCTGCTTGTTTTCACTTTGAAAGGGTAATTATATTCAGCATTTTTCCTCCTCTGTTGTACAGTACTCTTTTTAGCCTGACCTGGCTCATGGCCAGGCTTTTACTATTGGTGTATCTGCCCTCCCTCCTAACATTCCTCTCCCTCAGCATCTATGCGCCTGACTCAGCTTTGAGGGGATATAGCCAAAAAAGGTTTGTCTTCAAATGGCTATTAACCCCTTCCACAGCAATCTTTTATTGATAAGAGCAGGAATTGCGGTGGGCTGAGGTGTGAAAGTGCATTAATTAGATGATCAGAAGTATGGAGGTGGTTTGGGGTGAGCTTAAGTGCGATGGTGTAGTAATTGGGGTGATATGAGAAGTAGGGGTGCAGGAATTGGAGATAAAATGTGTAAAGGTTGCAGGTATTTGGGTGATCTGAGGTGGGAAAATGCAGGAATTGATACTGGTTGGAGGCCTGAAGGAACAGGAATTGGGGCTGATCTGGGTTGTAAAAATGCAGAAATTGAGATCTGTAGGTGCAGAAATTGAGATCTGTAGGTGCAGAAATTGAGATCTGTAGGTGCAGAAATTGAGATCTGGAGGTGCAGAAATTGAGATCTGGAGGTGCAGAAATTGAGATCTGGAGGTGCAGAAATTGAGATCTGGAGGTGCAGAAATTGAGATCTGGAGGTGCAGAAATTGAGATCTGGAGGTGCAGAAATTGAGATCTGGAGGTGCAGAAATTGAGATCTGGAGGGTGCAGAAATTGAGATCTGGAGGTGCAGAAATTGGGTTAAACTGAGGTTTGGTGGTGCAGGAATTTGGGGCTAATCTGAGGTTTGGAGGTGCAAAAATTGGGGCTGATCTGAGGTTTGGAGGTGCAGAAATTGTGATCAGAATTGTGGGTTTCAAAAATTGAGGCGTATCTGAGACCTGAAGGAGCAGGAATGGGGGCTGATCTGAGGCCTGAAGGGAAAGGAATTGTCGCTGGAGAATGGGATGTGAGGATGCAAAAAATGGGGCTGATCTGGGGCCTGAAAGTGCAGGAATTAGGGTGATCTGAGCTGTGAAGGTACAGGGATGAGAGCTGATTTAGGGTCTGAAGGTGCAGCAATTGGGTTTGATCTGGAAGAACTTTATTAGTGTGACCACAATCTCCTCACATGTCATTTCCATCTGCATATATTTCGCAGAAGCCCTCTGTTGACATATTCATTTCAACCTTACCATACTTGCCTCACAGCACTATTACTATTATTCAAATAGTTTACAGCATTTACTGTATAAAAATTCCTTTTCGTGATTGAGCGTATAAAGTTGACATTTTTTTTATATAACCGGCACTCTCAATTTCGCCAAACGTTTTTCGGCACACCATGCTCAAAAGGATACCAACCCCTGCCCTAGAAAATAAAATTCATAGGTGTTTCAATTTTTTTGTTACACGGTATTTGACAACTGTTTTTCGAATGCAAATTTTTTTTTTTTTGTGGGGGGAGGAATTACAATAGAATACCCCTTGTAATAGAATAGGCCATCCTTTTTCTTTCTCATAGACCCCAGATCTCTCCTCTGGCCTCCAAAGCAGCAAATTAAACAGAAGGGTTGGATCTGCTGCTTCATAAGCCAGTAATAGCGTGGCAACAAACAGACCGAAACCAGTAATAAAACTATCGTCGCTTCTGACATCACACAGTGGGAGGAACATAATCCGTTCCTCCCAATGTGACCAGGGAAGCTAGTGCCGCCGGTCGCATCCTTATCGGGCTATGTAGCCGCTAGGATTTTTTTTTTTTTTTTTTTTTTTACATTGAAGGGAATCGCCTAATGTAAATAAACAATACTGGGAACATGCTCACGGTTGCAGTTTGAACTATGATCCCAGTATAACCACCTCAGTTCAAGGATGTACGGTGGTATTGAGGTGGTTAATCAAAGATCTATGATTTACTCTGATCTATTATGATCTTAAAGCTCAACTGCAGCTAAAACATTTGTTTTGAACCTCTACCATGTTGAAGGAGACTTTGGCTGGATTTATGCTTTAAGAGAGGGCTCTGCTTATGTTTCAATACAAATGCACATGCAGCAATTTAAACAAACCTTTACAGACATACAGGATTTCTCTTAATCTGCTTATTTAACAGGGCACAAAAAAAAAAACAAATATTGTATTTCTTCTGAAGGAATAAACCCAAATTACTCCCACACACCCTTGACTAGGGACTTCTACAAAGGCTGTGATCCCATGTGCTTCTTGTCAAATGGGCAGTTCAACTGGGATGTTTTCACTACTCACTCAGCATAGAGTGGGATATATTTGTTTTTGCTTCAACAGGGCATTTGTGAAAAGCATAGTTTCCTGAACAATGACACCAGGAAGGGGAGCAGATTCACTCAAGTAAATTGTCGCTAGGAAATAGACCACAAATACACTATTGGTCAAAAGTTTTACCACCTTCTATCACATGAAAAATCAATCCAGCAGCTAATTTAGCCTGTTGGATTGCTTTTACAGTATTCAGTATTGCTTGGCTGAAGCCAGGGTCATGACTGCAGCTGCAGTCATGACTCTGGAAGGACCACTAAAACCAGAGGACGTATAGGTACATACTTATAGGTAAAGTGGTTAATGCCTTAGTGTACTCTGAAAATAAAGCAAAGACTGTTCTGGCCATTGCATAATTTGAAGCCCTCCGTCTTGTTGTATTCTAAGGTAGTTCTGACACAGCCTAGAAGTACCGTATTTTTCGCACCATAAGACGCACTTTTTTTCCCCCCAAAAAAGGGGGGGGGAAAATGTCAGTGCGTCTTATGGAGCGAATATGGAGCGGCCGGTCCGGTATTTCCACTGCCGCCGTGTCAGAATACCGGGCCGGCCGCTCAGCTCTACAGCGGGACCTTATAGAGATGACTGCTGACCTTTTGGGGAGGGGGGGGAGCGGGTACCTGAATTTGACAGATACCCGCTCCCACTTCCGTGGAGTTGTTCTTTCATCTTACCCGTTCCTCTACCCAGCGGCGCGGTCTTCCTGGCTTCTGTAGTGTGGGCATGACAGCCGGGTGCCAAGTGCTCATGCGCAGGAAGCGGTGCTTTTTGTGAATGGTAAGGCGGCACCTGGGACACATGACCGATCCCAGAAACCGCCGGACCAATCACAAAGCGCAAGTGCTTCTCGCTCATGCGCACTGGGCACCCGGCTGTCATGCCGAGCGCCATTACAGAAGCCGGGAAAACAGCGCGCGGCTGGATAGAGGAACAGGTAAGATGAAAGAACAACTCCGCGGAAGTGGGAGCGGGTACCTGTCAAATTCAGGTACCCGCTCCCCCCCCTCCCCAAAGGTCAGCAGTCATCCCCTGTACTATCCAGTCTCTGGTCATCACCCTGTGCTGTCCGCAGTCTCTGGTCATCCCTGTGCTGTCCGCAGTCTCTGGTCATCCCTGTGCTGTCCGCAGTCTCTGGTCATCCCTGTGCTGTGTCCGCAGTCTCTGGTCATCCCTGTACTGTGTCCGCAGTCTCTGGTCATCCCTGTACTGTGTCCGCAGTCTCTGGTCATCCCCTGTACTGTGTCCGCAGTCTCTGGTCATCCCCTGTACTGTGTCCGCAGTCTCTGGTCATCCCCTGTACTGTGTCCGCAGTCTCTGGTCATCCCCTGTACTGTGTCCGCAGTCTCTGGTCATCCCCTGTACTGTGTCCGCAGTCTCTGGTCATCCCCTGTACTGTGTCCGCAGTCTCTGGTCATCCCCTGTACTGTGTCCGCAGTCTCTGGTCATCCCCTGTACTGTGTCCGCAGTCTCTGGTCATCCCCTGTACTGTGTCCGCAGTCTCTGGTCATCCCCTGTACTGTGTCCGCAGTCTCTGGTCATCCCCTGTACTGTGTCCGCAGTCTCTGGTCATCCCTGTACTGTGTCCGCAGTCTCTGGTCATCCCCTGTACTGTGTCCGCAGTCTCTGGTCATCCCCTGTACTGTGTCCGCAGTCTCTGGTCATCCCCTGTACTGTGTCCGCAGTCTCTGGTCATCCCCTGTACTGTGTCCGCAGTCTCTGGTCATCTCCTGTACTGTGTCCGCAGTCTCTGGTCATCTCCTGTACTGTGTCTGCAGTCCATTAGTTCAGAATTTTTTTTCCTCTTTTCTGCCTCTAAAACCTAGGTGTGTCTTATGGTGCGAAAAATACGGTATGTTTTGGGTCATTATCTCACTGTAGGATAAACCACCTGGGTGTATTCTGGAGGGTATTGTATGATGCTGCAAAATGCTGTGGTGTAGTGGTTTAGTTCAGGGTACCACTCGCGCTGTGCAGGTCGCCAATTTTTGGATCCAGCAAAAGTGCCCCAGACATCATTATTCCTCCTCCATGTTTGACAGTTTGTGTTGCCTACCAAGGAACCATCCTTTCATCTACT